ATATATATAAGATCAGTATTCATAGTTGGATGTTATATTTAAGATAATCTTAAGTACAGTCTTAAGATGTCATGAACCAATCAGAAGGCTGCATTAGCGATTTAAAACATTACTTAAGACGGTCTTAAAATAAGAACCGACTATGAATACCCGCCTAAGAGATAATTACAAACTAGAATTGTTGTTTATTAATTTCACGCTAACCTCAAAATGCGTAATAATTGGTTCAAATTTCACCGTTTTAATCTTGAATTTATCAAAATAAGTCATTGTGTGTGATATTGATATTTGTAAATTTTTATCATGTGATCTATTTTGACAATAAAAATGAGCGTGGGGTATCAGTATGAAAAATATCTTAAGAGTACACACTGATTGCGTCGATTTGCAAATCGGTAAGATATGCACCACAAGCAAAGGACTGTCTGGTTACTGGTACGTCGAGCTTAAGGCCATGGCACACACCTTCCGTAACAATAACCATAAGACGTACAGTAAGAATGAGTCAATCACAGTCGAGAATTCTTTTGAACTCTTAATTCTAATTGGCTAATTCTTACGGTACGTTTTATGGTTATTGTTACGGAAGGTGTGTGTCATGGCCTTTAAAAGTGCGAGTCGAACGCAGTGCCTGTTGTCGATTTGCGAATCGATCAGTCATTATCATGTGTTCACCATGAAACTGCCGTTTCTGTAGAACCACCGAAGTTAACTTTTGATGCTAAAATCTCGTCTCTCCATTAGATACGCGCTCGCACGAAAGCACTTCGTCTCCTTTCACTTCTTTATTGAAAGAGATTCTTCTGCTACAGCTGAAGAAAATTCTGATGCGATTTCGTCAATTATGGTCGATTATTCAGGATGATTAATCCACGACGACGTAATACACATGCAACTAGAATAATCGTGAAAAGTGAGTAAAGCGACAATGTCAGCCTTCCGAAGTGGTGCGGGAGCAAACTAAAATCGTCACACATACGCATGCGTTGGCGATTGCGCAGATCCGCAATTTCTGTTAATCAATAAAAACCTCAAATATAAAATAACGCGCAAATTTAAAAGACATTCAAAAGATGTCTTAAAATGATGAGATTAAACCTATTTGCTTTTCATAGCAAAATAGGTTTGATCACAATCTCTATTGAAACTTAACATCTGCTACTTAGAATATACGACTATCACCTGTTCATATACGACTATCATATCTGAAGATGGCTCAATCGTGAGACCGAAACATGTAGGTAATAAAAAAAATATATATATATTTATATAGAACTTTTAATTATTTATAGAATATTATATTAAATATACTTCTGGTTTGAGTTTTTATGTTTTAAATAATTTTCTCTATATTTGACTCTTAAGTGCCCTGTACATTCTTGATATTGTTATTATAAATAAATTTTATTTTATTTTTGAAGCTACCAAATCATTATTTTAAAGCGGCTAAAGACAAAGTAATAATATTAAATATATATTTAAAAATAATTGTATACAAAGACTCTTGTTAAAACATAAAAATAAAAATCTAAATAAAGGGCATATAAGAATCAATAATCAAAAATACTTAAATATAAAATATAGACATAATAGTGATAAAATTCCTCGATAAAATTCTTACAAATGTTTCAATGGTATAACAATAATATATCTCGTTGGTCTAACAATAATTCCATTACATGTTTCGGCTTCTTGATCGAACCATCTTCAGATTTCGTATAATTATAGTCGCAAACCACAATGGACGAATAAAAATTGTAAATCCAAGGTTAAGAAAAGTTCGGTTAACAATCTCCGATGAATCGTGCGTTGACAAACCGAAATCGTTCCCATACAGCTGATCGACTGAATGTTAAAATTTCAATTTAACTGTGAAAATTAATATAAAGAAAATTGAGAACAATCTAAATAAATTTTTCCTTCCAATCGTCAATCAAAATAAAACTCACCGGAGAAGTCACATGTATGATAAAAAGTTACATCGTGTGTCCAATAAGTGTTAAATACATTCTTTTATATAAAATGAGTCACTTGT